ATGAATATACCCAGGAAAGAAAAATCTATAAACTTTTGAAACATATGGCCTATAGAAACTCTATAAAATTTCTATAGAATGTCTGTTAATTTCTATAGAAATTGCTAGAAAACTTTTTTTCTATAAACAAAAAAATTGAAAAAAAAATTTCAATAGAAATTTTTATAGATGTTGACAGAAACTCTAAAAAATTCTATAGAATTTCTATAGGCCATATGTTTCAAAAGTTTATATAAAATTCTATAGAACTTTTTTACCTGGGTATGTCTAGTAGTATTCTTTTTGTTTAAAAAGTTAGCTATTTCAAACATTTAAAAACTTTCCTACACCACTGTATATATATATATATTTATATATATATATATATATATATATATATATATATATATATATATATATATATATATATATATATATATATATATATATATATATATATATATGTATATATATATATATACGTATGTATATATATGTATGTTTATATATATGTATGTTTATATATATGTATGTATATATATATATATATATATATATATATATATATATTTATATATGAATATATGTATATATATATATATATATTTATATATGTATATATATAAATTTATGTATTTATATATATACATATACATATATTCATATATAAATATATATATATACATATATATACATATATATATATATATTTATATATGAATATATGTATATGTATATATATATATATATATATATATATATATATATATATATATATATATATATATATATATATATATATATATATATATACACACACACACTTACTAAAGCGTGTTTTGATAAGCATTTGCTCACTTTTTCTGCTTACCTTAAGCTATACAGTTTTTTTCAAAAAAGAAGAAAAAACGAAGAATGATGAATAAATTAATTGCTTCCCCATCCCAAACCCTCAGTTGATGTAGCAGCACTCCACTGCGTGTCAGGCTATTTGTCAGTCGATTTATGTACTTTAGCCCCCAGCAGCAGGCTATTTCAGTATGACGTCAGATTGCTTACAATAGTACGCAATACTATTTGTATATATATATATATATATATATATATATATATATATATATATATATATATATATGTATATGTATATATACAGTGGTGTAGGAATATATATATATATATATAATATATATATATATATATATATATATATATATATATATATATATATATTCTATATATATATAGGAATATATATATATATATATATATATATATATATATATATATATATATATATATATATATATATATATATATATATATATATATATATATATATATATATATATATATATATATATATATATATATATATATATATATATATATATATATATATATATTCTTGGGCGCTTTGGACAATGAGCTTTTCAGAAACCATTTTGCATAAAAAATGGTGTTAAAATAAACTTCTTTTCTTTACCTCATTTTCTTCTTTTTCTATCATTGTTAAACAACAATTTTTTTATAATTTCAAATATAAAGTAAATTTAAAATAGGCCTCAAAAGAAGCACCAGGTTGGTGGAATCAAAAACTAATTTAATTTCCACTGAGATAGAAAACAACAAGGTTTTTATGATCACCTCTTGCAAAAATAATTTTGAACACAGTTTAAGTACAGCAAGAAAGGGTGTTAAACACTGACTCTTTTTTTTTTGATACTCACATTTTTGCAACATTATATAAAGTGTTCATTTTTGAACAAAGTTTATTTTATATATTATTTTTATATTTTTTACATACAAATACTTTTTTTTTTATTTATTTTTTAAAAACAATGAGATCTTTTTTTTTCTGTGAGAGCTTACATGAAGTTAGACATGCACCCTCATAAATGTGATACCTACATAACATCAATTTTATAGAAATTGATTTACTTCACAAGATTTACCAGTGTATCTACTGGCATATCACTGCAGTAATCAAATAATTAACAATCATAATGTTCTTATAACATTATTCAATCTATTCCTGTCATGCTTTATTTTTCAGTTTTAACAACCCCAAATAATATGTTGTTGCAAATCTGAAGTTTTTTATGTTTTTGTTTTTCTATAGTTAAAAATCTAGTTAGTTAATAATTTTCTCTTTTCTATTCTAGTTCTGTAAGCTGCATCATCTTTTTTTTTTTCCTAAACATTTTTCTTTCCTGGTTTTGAAAGAATTCAATTATTCGATAGATTATTTTTAAATACTAAGTCATTAGTTGCTATTATTTTTTGTTTAAAATCTATGTTTGAAATTGTAAAATATTATTTTATTCAAAAACAATTTTCTCTACTAGAATGTTATGATTAGTCTTAATGTTAAACTCAAGTTATTTTGTTTTTATTATTTTAGTGCTATTTTTAATAACCTACTATTTTTCGCTTGTAAATAGTACAAATAATTATTTTATCAATAAAAATTGGTAATAAAAATAACAATAAGGTAACAAAAAATGTGTAACCCAATAGCAAA